TTAATAATTCGGTTCTTAATTTTGGTTCTTCGGTTTGGTACGGTACGGGACGGTTCGGTTCGGTTCTCGGTACGGATATTTAAGAAATCTCCAGAACCGTACCAATTATTTCTTCGGTTTGGTTCGGTTCGGAGAAAGTCAAATGGTCAACGGATATTTTTCGGTTCGGAGTGATTTCGGTTCGGTTTTCGGGACGGTTCGGAATTCTCCGAGTCCCATGCTCAGCCCTACGGAAAACCTAGCTTCCGTTAATTTTTTTTTTTCCGATTTTTTCCTTCTGATTGCGCCATGGTTGAAGGTTCTCCTTCATCGTCTGTTTCGATTACGCTACCGCATCTCAATCCGCTTCCTCTCCGTCTCGATCGATCCAATTTTTCATATTGGAAAGCTCAGATTCTGTCCACAGTCCGCGCTCATGGCTTTGAAGAATATCTTCTTGATTCGATGGCTCCGACGAAGTTTCTGCCTCCGTCCTCTCCCGGCGTTGCTGCATCAGAGATCAATCCTGCTTACATCTTGTGGATGCGCACTGATCAACTCATCTTAAGCTGGATGCTTGCGTCGATAACTGAATCTATGTTAGGGCATCTCACGCGATGTTCCTGCTCAGCTGAGGTTTGGTCTGTTCTTACTCAGCTCTTTCATACTCAGTCCAAAGCGCGTGTTCTTCATATGAAATTCCAACTGCAAACTCTTAAGAAAGGCGACCTCTCTATTGATGATTATATTTTGAAGATGAGGTCTATTACTGATGAGCTTCATTTTGTTGGTCAGAGCCTTGCTGATGATGAGTTAGTCATGTATATACTTGGTTGCTTAGGTGCTGATTATGAATCTGTTGTTGTTAATCTCACCTCTCGTCTGGACTCGATTTCTTTGTCTAAGGTTCATTTCTCTTTACAAACGCATGAAATGAGGCTAGCTAGTCATGTTCCTACTGCTCCTGTTGCTTTTCCTGCTACTGCTCCATCTCAGGTTTCTGATGGTAATATCACAGCCAACTTTGTTCAATCTCGTGGTGGTTCTTTCCGAGGTCGTGGTCGAGGTCGATCTCGTGGCCGTGGTTCATTCTCTGGCCG